AAAACTAAACACGCCAGAGGAAATTTGGCCAGTTATCCCATTGATGAACTAGTAGATAGAGCCAAACAGTCTTTTCAAGGTAAGTGTTTCTAGAACTGTGTGTGACATTAGTCTTCTTATTGAAACAGTCAGTATTTTAAGTATTATTCACTTTAGATACCTGCTGCTTCAGCTTTCTGAAGTTGACAAATACTGCGGCTTAACTAATAGATGTTGTCAGATTTAACCACTTAGGTTAAATCTTATATTTTTCTGCTTTACTGTTTTCTTTTTACTCCAAGGTAAATGTCACATTTCAGAGCCTTTACACCCCATCTCTAGTCTCCATGGAAAAGAAAAAAAAAGTTAAATCCTTCAGCCTCTGAGATCCAAGAGAAATACTCGGATTTCACTTTTTTTTTGGGGGGGGGGTGATTTTCTTGACAATTTAGGAAACAGAGCCAGGAGGGTGTCCAGGAGTCTCTGAAGGAAAACAGAGGTTGCTCATCCAGGCACAGAGGAGGCCACTGTTCTTCTCTGGGGGACTGTTGGTTCAGGGAAGAACGGTCCTGACAGGCAGATCTGAGGGACAGAGTGCTCTTGAGTTGTCCCTTGCTGGCAAGTGTGATTGGCTGGTGTCTCTGAGCGTGGAGGGAGACTTATCTTTAACATGAGTAACTGTGGTATTGACACATAACTGCTTAGACATGAACTTCCTCTTCTGTCCTTGTTTGTAATGTGTATGTGTGGAGCAGTGGTGTGTGTTGTCATCCTACATCAGCTCATCTATTGTCTCATAATCTTGTGGGCTGATAGTTATTGGCAATGTGCTTTTCCTTTGAGCAAGTGGCTTGGAAGGCTGCTTTCAGTACCTCGTACCCTGAATCTCAGAAGTGTGCATTCCAGCCCCTTTTCTATAAAGTCTAGTCTAGCCAAAGCTTTTATCAACACGAATTTGGAATGTTTCTTTTAGTAGAGAGAAATAGACCCTTCATTGATTTATTGACTCCTCCCTAAATTTTTTTTTCTGATTTTATATCCTTATTCTTACCTTGTGTTCGTACTGAGCTGATTTTGAATAGAAACAGGAGACGCGGTGAGTCTCATTGCCAGTCCGAGGAAGGCCGGGTGAGTGTCTTCTCTGCAGCATGAAGACTTGAAGGGTTTTTCAGAAGGGGCAAGAATTCACCTAGAAACCTAATTTATACATCTGGTGTTCTTGCCAATGTTCTTATCTACTGCTTACTATTCCATGTATCTGTCAGTTTATGAGGATATTAAACATAGGTGATTTATCTACTAACTACTGCAAATTAGAAGGCATACAAATTAGTACTTTTTCAACATTGTGTGTTTTCAAGTGCAGCCACATATAATTTTTAGAAACCTTCTACTTTATCATACTTGAAAATTTAATTGATAAACCCGATTGGCCAAATTGTTATATTGTTTATATGTGAGAATATGGAACAACAAATTCCACCGCTGTGTAGAACTGTAACATACCACTAAAAAGGGGAAAAAAGGAAAAACTTCCAGAAAAAAATACACCATGAGTTCTGAAAATTATGATTCAAATTCAGTGTTCACAAGTAAAGTTTTGTTAGAACATACATACAAAGAAAAATATAACCTGTATAATGGTGGTCTAGGAGAGACACTATTGTCTTCATTCCCTGGTATCTATCCTTACTTGTAACTGAAGCTAACATTTGATATGAGGGTGACTTTTTGTGGACACAGTTATGTTTTATATATATGATGGGGGAAAAAAGGAAACATAGTTGCTTTGACCCAGTTGGAGAATTCTCCTAAAGCCATCCAATGTAACCCTCTGTTTCTTTAGCACTGTCCTCTGGGCAACAGAGGT